ATTTCTAGCTTTTGCTTTACAGTGAGAGTATAGGGGTGCCTGGTTGGCTGAGTTAGTTGACATCCGACTCGATTTCGGCTCAGTCCATGGTCTCAGAGTTGTGTGAGATCAAGCCCCACGTTAGGCTCCATGCTCAGCTCAGAGTCCGCTTGAGATTCTCACCTTCTTCCTCTCCCTCTGCCCCTCCCCCCAACTTGTGCTCGCTCTCTCTCAAATAATAAATAAATAATAAATAATAAATAATAAATAAATAAATAAAATCTTTTAAAAAATATAAATAAAGTAAGAGGACATGAACTCTTTCTTTCACTTGAACACTTAGAGGGCACTATAGGGTTATTAACTGGCCTAATTTCAATGTTGTTGTGTCTCAGGGAATAGGGAGGCCCAAGGAGAAAGAGAGAGATGAGGGAATAGCTGGTCAGAACACACAGCATTTATCAATTAAGTTTACCATCTTATACAGGGGTAGTTTGTGGTGCCCCGAAACAATTACAATAGTAACATCAAGATCAGTGATCACAGATCACCATAACAAATATAGTAACAATAAAAGAGTTTGAAATACTGCAAGAATTACAAAAATATAACAAAGCCACACAACGTGAACAGTTGCTATTGGAAAAATGGTATCCACTGACTTGTTTGATGTAGGGTTGCCACAAACCTTTAATTGGTAAAAAATGCAGTATCTGCAAAGTGTAATAAGGTGAAACACAATAAAACAAGGTCTGACTGTACTCTGAAAACTATAAGACATTGTTGAAAGAAATCAAAACTGACACAAATGGAAAGATATTCCATGTTCATGGATTGGAAGAATTAATATTGTTAAAATATCCATACTACCCAAAGCAATCTATAGATTCAATGCAATGCTCATCAAAATAGCAATGACATCTTTCACAGAAGTAGAAAAAATGATCCCAAAATTTGTATGGAATCACAAAAGACCCTAAACAGCTAAAGTAATCTTGAGAAGGAAGAACATAGCTGGAGGCATCAAGCCTCCTGATCTCAAACTATACTACAAACCTATAGTAATCAAAATGGTATGGTACTGGCAGGAAAAGAGACACATAAGTCAATGGAACAGAATAGAGAGCCCAGAAATAAACCCACGCTTATATGGTCAATTAATGTATAACAAAGGAAGCTGAGATTATACAACGGAGAAAATACTGGAGTCTCTTCAATAAATGGTGTTGGGAAAACTGGACAGCTACATGTGAATGAAACTGAACCACATTTACATGACATATAAAAATAACTTCAAAATGGATTAGAGACTTGAATGTAAAACCTGAAACCATAAAATTCCTAGAAGAAAAGAAACACAGTAAGCTCTCTGACATCAGTCTTAGTAATATATATATATATACATACATACACATATTTTGACCAGTCTCTTCGGCTAAGGGCAAAAAAGCTAAAATGAACAAATGGGATTACATTAAACTAAAAGCTTCTGGACAGCAGAGGAAACCATCAACAAAACAAAAAGGCAACCTACTTACTGGGAGAAGGTATTTACAACTCATACACACAATAAGGGGTTGTTATCCAAAATATATAAAGAACTTACAGAACTTAATATCAACCACATCATCAACAACAACCTGATTAAAAAATGGGCAGAGGACTTGAATAGACATTTTTCCAAAGAAGACATACAGAGAGCCAACAGACACCTGAAACTATGTTCAACGGGGAAATGCAAATCAAAACCACAATAAGATATCACTTCACACCTATCAGATTGGCTATTGTCAAAAAAGAAAAGAAATAACAAGTGTTGGTGAGGATATGGAGAAAGGGGAACCCTCAGGCACTGTTGGTGGGAATGTAAATTAGCGCAACCACTACTGAAAACAGTACATTTTAATAATGTCCACTTTTAATAATTTCTTACAGGACATATTCCACAATTTATTTCTCAGCAGTTTTAAAAACTATTCATCAAAGTGCATAATATTTACAGTCTGCATTTTAAAAAATGAAGTCAGGCTTTTTCTAACAGAAAATTTATATCTGAATACCTGTTTTGTTAGTAAAGATTGGCTTTGCAAATTAGTTTAGATGGCAGACATCTTAACATCTGGGCCAAAAGATCTCCTGAGTTGAAAAGATAGAGGTGGAAGTTCAGGGACTCTAAAGTAGCTAGAGTTGGCAAGGCAGAGTGCTGCAGAGGAGAGAGCTGCACACAGATTGAATACCACAGCTCTACAGAGGGTCCCCCTTGAGTATTCAGGCAAATACTGTGAGGAAACTACCTGAGGCTGAGGAAAGAAATACCCCCCAAAATTAGAGAGACTAGTGCCCAGAGCTCATACCTGCCTAGTGCCTGCTTCTAAGAGCCAATGTAGAATGCTTCATAATCCACAGAGCATTGGCTAAAGAAGGAAGGGTCTTACCCAGGAGTAGACAAATTAATCCTGAAATAAACACAACTTTGGGACTGCCTAACAAAGCTTAAAAGTAAAATGATCAAACTATTTCCAAATAAAGCAACCCTATCCCAGAACAAAGTTCAAGAGTATTTCTAAGAATATAAAAATATCTATCACCCAATAAGATAAAACTCAAAAGGTCTGACACCCAATCAAAAATTACCAGGCATTAAAATAAACAAGAAAATATATTCCCAAATGAGGAGGAAAAAAAATCAGTTGAAACCCAGAATGTGTAGAATGACAGAATTAGTAGACAAGTACATTAAAAAAATTATTATAACTGTATTTCATATGTTCAAGATGTATAGAAGAGACTGAACATGTTAAGTATAGACTTGAAAGAGATTTTTAAAAGACCCAGATCAAACTTCCAGAGGTTAAAATTACAATGTCTGAAATTAAAATATACTCGGATTAATAACAGATTAAACACTGTAAAGGAAAAGATTAATGAACTTGAAAACACAGTAATAGAAAGCATAAAAAATGAAACAGAGAGAAAGAAAAAAAGACTGAGAATGAAAGTTAAGAGAGCATCGGGACAACCTCAGAGCTGCGGGACAACCTCAGACAACCAACTATATATAATTGCAGTCCTTCAAAGGAAGAGACAGAAAAATTTGAAGAAATAATGGTCAAAGACTTTCCAAATTTGATTAAAATTATAAATGCACAGATCTAAGATGCTCAATAAACACAAGAAACATGAAGAAAACTATGTCAACGCACATCAATATCAAACTGCTTTAAAGTAGTGAAAAAAGAGAATCTTAAAAGGAGAGAGGAAAAGGACACATTACATACAGAAGACAAAGAATGACAATAGTTTTCACTAGAAATAATGCAAGCTACAAGTCAAAGGACCAAAATCTTTAAAGTACTGAAAGGGAAAAACTGCCAACTTAGACTTCTTTAATGAGTAAAAATATCTTTCAAAAACAAAAGTAAAACAGAATTTTTTCCAGAAACACAAAAGTTGAAAGAACTCACCAACAACAGACCTGACCTACAAGAAATGTTAAAAGAGGTCCTTCAAGAAGAATAAGTGATACCAGATGGAATGCTGACTCTACCATAAAGGAGTGATGAGCAGCAGAAATGTTAATAAATAACCTTCATGGTAAAGATCAATGGAATGTTCATTAAAACATATAGATAGATATAGATACAGATCATCATTGGAATACTTCTCCATTTTCTTTACCATATAAGTGTCCTTACTCAGAATTTTCTGTTATAACATGCTTTTCGTCTCACTAACTACACACAGATTTTGGGAGTCAAGGAAAAGGACAGAAATAGAGGGAAATATATAAACATAAAAAAAGAACTGGAAAAGGGTCAACAGAAAAAGATTTAAAGTGACAGAAGCCCTTTCTCACAGCCTGATTTAAACAAAAGCATTTAATTCCAAGTCTTTTGGTATACAGTATTTCCCAATATCCAGTGCTGTTCAATAAATGTTTTCTTGCCCTTCTCATAGCACTTAATGCCAGTAGGATCTTTTGGCCATGGCAGAACAGTGACTGCCACTTAAGGGTCGCAATGTATATTAGAATGCCAATTAGATTTCTTTCCCTGGGTGAATTACAGAGCTTTCAAGTTTGACATCTGTCTCAGGCAGAGGACAATTGAGAAAACAAGTCTGAGTCAGATGTCTGAGCACGTGACACATTCTAGAGATGTTCATTTATCATGAGTTAATTAACCAATATTTCTCTTTCTACTCTGTTTTCAGGAGGGGAAAAAAAGCAATGGAAAATATGTAAGAAGTGATTTATTTTAAATAAATTCTTTTAAGGTATATTCTATAGTCAATAGAATAACATTCCAATATTCTAAATCTTCCTCATCTTTAGTACTACACAGTCAATGGTCAGAAAGACATAGGTTCCTGCAAAATCTGGAACTACTGAATAAAAACTACATCTTACATAAGAAAGGATATTTATCTAAAGAAGAAAAGCAGGTTAGCACATGCTTGTTAATTAAAAGAATTTCAACAAGGACTGGAGCAAAATGGATTAATCTTCAATTCCACTAAAACAGTGGTGTCCAAATATGATTCCAGAGAAGCAATTTAAGGCCACAGTGGAGGCTGAAAGGAGTTTGAGTCCTGAGAATTAAAACTGCATTCTCATTTCAACCCAAGCTATCTATGGGAATTCTACTGGATTCCTTTAAAAAAAAAGGGGGGGGGGGGAGTAAAGGGAGGTAGGTTAGCTGGTTCAAAGAAATTATTTTATGTATTTTAGAAACAAAATTTTAATTTACCAAGTAAACATTTTAAGTCAAAATATTTTTATATCATAGTAATACATTATTCTATTGCTAAAACCATTCCCAATTATCTTAAATAAATAATATCTATTTCTGTTTATAATAAAAAAACAAAATTCCAAGCCAAAATATTTTTGATACCATTAAAAGTGATATTAAAAAGTCATTCTAGGCAATAATAACTTTATTCTTACACTAGAAGAAACATTAAACAAAGGATTTCCTAACAAGCACTTTTATAAATTTAATAAGAAATTATGGCCTCACCTGTACAGCACTATTAAGAAAGCAGCTGTTTTGTCCTGGTTCATTTAACAAGCCTTTGGTAGGGGCTAGGGATAGCATACTCCCAGGTTGATAAACTTTTCCAAGATTGCCGCCAGGTTTCCGTAAGAATTTTACCCATGCCATTTTCAAGAAAATTTGTGTACATTAAAGATAAGAATTATATATTTATGTGATATTTCTGATGATAAATGGGATGATGTCTTGAACTGTCCACTTAAATTCACTGTAGTCAATTATAGTAACGTAAGTTTCCAAGTCCATATCTTTCCTGATGCTGTAAATTTTTGACGACTTTGTCAAGCAAAAGTAGGGTACATAAACACTGAAGTTCTAAAAAAGAAATCTTAAAAATTTTGATATGCATTAAATTTTATAAGAGAGTTGTACAGTTAAAGCAAAAAATATTTTTTTTAAACTGCTAAAAACAATGTTGATGAACAAATAATTTTCTTTAAAGCACAAGCCATTGGTCTTGATGGTTTAAAAAACAGATGATACAAAAAGATGTTGAGTTCCCATCTGGCATGATTCCTTTGGTCATTTGTTTTCCTTATGTTTTTTTAGTAAGAAAGAAGACTCTCTCTTTCACAGGTGAAGTTATCAAAGGTGGTTCCATATTTCTCATCAATGTGACCTCAAAGCAAATCTACAAGAAAGAAAATAAATGTTTAAATAAAAGCAAAAGCTAATCAAGAATGGCTAAACAAGAAAATTCCTACTTTACTATTTGAACACAAATACTGAATATATAATCATAAAAGGATTATAACTGTGTTCTAAAATACAAAAAAGAAGACATTATTCCTCATTAAAAATTTTTAAAAATATCAATGTGACATCAATCACTACCTGTTTGAAGATTTCAGTGGTCACTGATTTCAAAAGGAAAATAGTCTAGAGAACACTGTAATTAAATTAGATCTCAGGTAGTATTTTCAAAAGTACTAACTTTGTTGTCAACACTAAATTGCTTTGTTTATTAAAACAAATACACGTACAGATACTCTATGTTGTTACATGTCTTGAACAGAATATTATTTTTCCAAGAAACTCTGTAGATTTTACATAAATTGGTATACATTAAAACTCAGAAGAAGCCTTAAATTGATAAACAAATCTTAGTGAACTTAGTGTTTTCTACACTATTCACTAATGCATGCTCCTGAGTAAAAAGACTTTAAACTTCATTAAAAACAAGTATTACTAACAAAGTCTTGTTTAACTAATTAAATTTCCTTCCTATGTTCATTCACTCAACAAACATTTACTGAGCCAAGTACTGTGCCAGGCAGTGGACTAATTTAATAATGAGGAAAGGCATACATTAATAAACAACAAATTGTAACTGTACTAGAAGAGTTACGTGCTGAGTGCTAACAGAAAAACAATGCAAGGAAAGAGGATGGGAAATGCATATAATGTGAGGGAACTTGCACTTTTAAATAGGATAGTCATGGAAAGTCTAATTGAGCAGGTTATCTTTGCACAAATATTTGAAGTAGGTGAAAATGTCACCTGAGAGAAGGCGTTTCTAGCAGAATGAATAGCATGCTTGACATATTGGAAAAATAGTAAGCAGCTCAATGTGGCATGAGAAATATAAACAAAGAGGAAAAGATGAAAAGGAGGAATGGGAAACAGATCATGTGGGGGTACTAAAAGCCCTCTGTAAGGACTTCACCTTTAAACTCTGTTAAAGTCATGAGCTTCATTTTCACAGCATGGAAAGATAAGACAGAATGGCATGGATCAGTTCAATACCATTGGTCAAATACCCATGAAAACAGGAAAGCACCGAGGAATAAAGAAGCATCTTATCTAAAGAATTAAAGTCAGGGCTTGTTTCCAGCCCCACATATTAGCTCATCACTTATTAGCTGTTTAGCCTTAGATAAATCCTTGTCCTCTCTGATTTAAAGTGTCTTCATCTATAAAATGGGGACAGCAAGCTTTGCGCAGTGGCAGTATCGTAGCCAATGAGGTTTATCCGAGGCGCGATTATTGCTAATTAAAATGGGGACAGCAATAATAGCCCTGATTAACATAGGTTAAATGTTTCAGGAATTCTAAAACACTATACTATGTTAGTTGTTTTCTTTTTATTTTAACTCCGTGGGTTGCAACCTTCTCTAAAGTAATCTAAATGATTCCCAAACCTTTCATACAAATTAAGTTTTTAATAAATGCGTAATTTTACCACATTAAGGGAGCTCTATGTTGGTGGTAAATTTGTATTTTTAATGAATGAATCCTTTTGAAATGATATTCTTTCATCATTTACTAGGCACCATGTTTGCACCATGAACTGTCCTAAGGTATATGAAATAATCCCTACCTTTACTGAGCTTAGTTTGGTGAGAGGCAAAGACATGAACAGATAACTTAAAAATACTGTGGCTTCCATTCTTGTGCAAGATGTCGAACTAGTATATGCTTCTCTGGTTCCCTACCTCCAGCCCAAGTCTGGAGATTACAGGAAGGAAACCTTAAGGATACCAAAAGTAACTGGCTTCTAAAGTGGGAGGGAAACAGTAGCTAAGATAAAGAGAGGGCCAAGTGTTACATACTAGAAAAGATCTTTCTAGTTAAGACCTTTTCCATTCCTCACATTTCTCTGGGCAGAGAATTCCCACCTCACACAGTGCAACAAAACGGGAAGTTCAGCTACCACCCTACTGCCATCTGGAGGGTAAGGGAGATTATAACAGCAGAAAAGCACTAGATCACAGGCAGTTTGGGAATGGTAACAAGTACATGCAAGGACCCTGGGTGTTCTGCCCTCACCCCTACTTCTCAAATAGAACAGAGGACAGTAGGATCTGGGGAAGATCATGCTGCTAGGTACAGAAACAGAAAGTTCTTTTTGGAACCAACACTCAAGCTGCATCACTCCAAATCAAGCCCCTCTACTCACATCCCACCTCTACTCACTGAAAGCATCTGAAGAAACACAAATGAGAGCAAATGCTTTCACCCTTTTCATGTAAATATCATTAGTTTGTAACTTGGTACTCCAAGAAAAAGAGAAACAGACACTTGAGGGGGACCAGCACTATGAAACAAAGGCAACAAGCTGAACATTCTATAACAGAGAAAACAGAGTGAACAGACCAAAGGGAACACAAATTTAAAATAAACTAAATAAATATCCACCAACTGAATATGGCAATTTTTAAAAAAACTACTAAAATTTTGTAAAAGAATGAGGTAACTAGGGGCGCCTGGGTGGCTCAATCGTTGAGCATCTTCCTTTGGCTCAGGTCATGATCCCAAGGCCCTGGGATGGAGCCCCGCATTGGGCTCCCTGCTTGGCGGGAAGCCTGCTTCTCCCTCTCCTACTCCCCCTGCTTGTGTTCCCTCTCGTGTTCTCTCTCTGTCAAATAAATAAAATAAAATCTTAAAAAAAAAGAATGAGTTAACTAGCAAAATGAATAGAAGCAAAAACTGTATCAATGAGCAGTAAGTTCAGGTCAGGAAATTTTCCTACAAAGCACTAAAAAAGGAATAAAGAAGTGGAAAATATAAACATTTTGAAAAAACTAAGAGGCATGGATGAAATCAATACTATCTAAAAGGTTCCCAGAAAGAGGATAAAGTAAATTGAGTAAATACTTTTAGAAATGACTAAGATTTTTCCAGGATTAAAGACCAAAAATCTCAGAGAGATATAGAAAATGATAACTCAAAAAATCCAAACATGATGTGGGGAAGAAAGTAGGATGAAAATTACGAAGGCTTAAGCTGAAAAGAGAGAGAGAGAAAAAGAGATTTTCAAGCCCATGCATAGGCAAACAATAGAAAAAAATAAATCCAAAAGTAAACTTTTGTAAAAACTAATATAACATAAAATCTTCACAAGCCTGATTAAAGAAAGGAAAAGAGGTATGTAAACACCAAAGAGATTGATAAATAAGAAATGACCACACATACATAAGCAACCAAAAGACTGTAAGAGTATGACTTAAGTCTTAGGGCAATAACTTTTAAAATCTAAAGGAATAGGTAATTTCCCAGCAAAATACAAATTAACAAAATTAACCCAAGAAAAAGTAGAAAACATTTTTAAAATCTAGAATAATATGGAAACAAAAGTTCTCTCACTGAAAAAGCCATCTGGATCAGATGGATTCAAAGTTCAATTTTACCTAAACATTAAAGAACTGTTGATTCTAACATAGTACTGCAGACCAGAGGGAAAATAATATGCAAAGTATCCCAAATCATTTAATGAAGCTAACATAACCTTATTATCAAAACATGATAAATCTCAGACTAATGTGACTTGGATACAAAACTTGTAAATAAAGCACTAGCAAATATAATCTATCAATGTGTCAAAAAAATAATGTACACTTTTTAAAAGAATAATCAAGGAGGATTTATTCCAGGAACGCAAATGTGATTCTATATTAATTCTTTCAATAAATACTTGGGAGGTTATGGAGAAAAGAGCTAACACAGCGATGTTTGTAACAGCTGAAAGGTGGAAACAAGCCAAATGTTTATCAACTAATGAATGGATAAACAACATACGGTATGAGTATGTGTGTATACATATTCGTAAAATGGAATATATTCAGCCATAAAAAGAAATGAAGTACTTTTACATGCTACAATATGGATGAACATTGAAAACATTCTAAGTGAAAACAGTCAGGAAGGACCACATGTTACGATTGATTCCATTCATACAAAATGTCCAGAACAGAGAAATCTACAGAGACAGCCAGGAGATTAGTGGTTGCTTGGACTGGAGAAGTGGCACTGTAGAGATGAGAAGGGAAGAGTGAGAACTAAAGGGTACAAGGATTCTTTTTGAGGTGATGAAAATGTTCTAAAATTGTGGTGATAGGTTTACCTTCCTGTAAATACACTAAAAACCACTGAATTGTACTCTTTCAATGAGTGAATTGTATGACAAGAAAAAAGAAAGGACAACATAGCAGACCAGAGATTGCTATCCTTAGAAAGCCTGCTTGCAAGGTTTTAGGCTTTTAGAATTTAAATTTTTGGGAGGATTCCACCACAGTAACTAGTGAAAGTTGGTCACTGTATCTAAACTGTGCAAACAATGTGGTTTATCCTAAACACCTGCTTTCCTTCTGGAAGTCTGGAATTCTGGTAACATTTGAGGTAGAGGATAACCATGTGACCCCCCTTCCCAATAAAAAATTCTACGGACTGAGTCTCTAAACAGCTTTCTGGTAGACTGCATTTTACATATGTCACAATTAGTTGCTGGAGGAATTTGGGTGTTTCATGTGACTCCATTGGAAGAAAACTAGGAGAAACTTGTGTCTGATTTCCACCAGAATTCACCCCACGATCCTTTTTTATTTGCTGATTTTGCTTTATTTCCTTTTGCTGTAATTAAAAAAGCATACCAATAAGTACAACTATATGCTGAGTGTTCAAAATTCTACAAAATCACCAAACCTAGGAATGTCAGGAATCTTGGAGACCTCAACACAGAAGCATTATGAAAGTAATTAAGAGGTAGTTTGTTTCTTTCCATCAGCTGGCAAAAACTTAAAAGAAACACTGTTGGTGGAGCTAAAGGGAAAGAGGTACTTTCCCTTATTGTTGACTAATAAAAAAATGTAATTATACTATAATACCCTTGTAGCAATATTATATCAACCTGGC